CTTCGCAGTGGGATGCATCCTGGGGGTCCAGCCTCTGGCTATTTAGCCAGGGCAGAGCCAGGTCCTACAGCTGCCTGAACCCTCAAGGAGTCAGCAGTGGACAAGATTGTGGGGGGTAGTGACCCATAAGGCAGAGCTGCCAGTGGTATTTGTCCCCCTAGGACTGGTCAGATGGAGTACTTGTTTCCAGGAGCTAACTCTCCCTTGCCCTCTTCCCTAGCCAGAGCCTCCTCATCTGAGCAGGCAACAACCCCAGATGGACCAACATGTACAGAGAGGTGGAATCAGAACTATGGCCATCAAGTATCAAGGGCCCAGGTGGTCCTCCATAGCCCAACCCATCCAGACTCTACAGTCTCAAGGGCAACCCAAGCCAGGGGAAGTAGGAGAACAAAGCCCCATGACTGGTCCCAGTGATTACCCAGAGAGCAGTCATCCCTGTTTCAGGAAGAAAGGCCACTCTTCCTGGCCTGGACTCAGCTCACCACAGCTCTGTGACCCCACTCTCATGCAGTGGCCTGCCTAAGCCATTGGCTTTACCCTGAGTGGTCTGTCAGTATCCCCCCACCCCTACACACCCCCTGCTCTCCCCTAGCACACCCCAAATTCTCTCACTCAGCTAGGGACTCCTAGCCCGCAGTGAAGCCAGGTCTCCCCCACTGCAATCTGGGCCTCATCATGTCCCTCACACGTGCTCCAGATCCAGAGGGATCAGACTGCCCTCTCCATTTTTTTCTGAGACACGAGGGGGCTCTCTCCCAGGCTGGGTCAGCTTACTCTAGCCTCAGCTGACCGCCCCACCCCCCGCCACCATACATTGGTTCTGTGACCTCTCAGGACACTGTGCACCCCAGAAGCCATTTAAAACTCAAATACCAGCCCCTGTGAGTGCCAGCCCAGTGCCAGAGGGCCTCAGTCAGTGAGCACCAAGGCCTTACTGAGAGGATGCACCTCTCCCTCACTTGTGGCACCTCCTCCACCTCCCTGCACATCCCCAGGCATCCCCCACCCCTGCAGTAAGGAAGGCCTCAGCATCTGTCATGAAACAGCCTCCCAGCATCGCTCCTTGCCAAAATCACCATGAGGCTTGCCACCACTGTCAATGTGAAGTCCAACCTTTCAGCCAGCCAGGCACACAACGCCCTTTGCCAATTGGCCTCTGCCAGCCTTTATGGCCTCCTTGCTTGACCAGATCTCCAGTAGGTAACCACACCAAACTGTGTCCTCACCCTAGGGTGGAGCAGAGCATGACTCAGAGGCCTGTTCAGGAACTGGCTGTGGGTTAAGCTGGACACACACGTGCCCACACGTGTCCCCCCACACACACCCATATGGATATGCATATGAATGCACACGCACACCTGTGTAGAAGGCCATCACCCAACTGCACGTGGTTTTCTACCAAATTGTACCCACAGTAGAATGTGGAATCTGCACCAGGAAGGGACTGACGAATCTGTTTTATGGTTCCCAAGGGTAGTCATGTCACCATCTGCAAGCCCTTGAGAAGCAGCAGGGAAGCAAGAGTGGATCCCTGACTCTGGCTGAGCTCTATCTGGGTCCCAGGGTCTCTGAGCCCCTGTGAGTGGGCAAGCAGGTCCTGACCAGGCTTTCCTTCTGGTTCTGTGGCAGACTTGCTGTGCAGCCCCAGACAAGCCACCTTCCCTCTCCTGTTTCTCCAGCTATAAAACAAAGGGATTTGGGTTAGCTGATACCTAAGGGCTGTCCAGGTGCACTGCCCAGCTGTTTTCAGTTCATGCCAAGTACAGGGAATGAAAGGGCCTATAAAGGTGGCAGCAGTGGGGGAGAGGGGCACCCTACATAGCAAGTGCCTCCAGCTGGGAATGGAAATGAGGTGGGCACAAGGGCAAGAGGAACCTGAGCCAGGACAGACAGAAGCAAAGAACCACAGGATGGGAGCAATTATGACCCATAACTGAAATTTATGGAGCAAATAGTTAAGTCCTATTGAACAGTCACCATACAGCGTTTATCTCGTATTTGCATCTAGATTGAGGCCAAGTAGATCTTTTCTCATCTTGGGGATACCAAATGAGCAAATCTAATGGGCCAGGCCCAATCCAGCCCCTGGCCTCCCAGCCCCCACAAACATAGGTGTAGGGCAAGGGCCAAAGCAGCACAGGAGAGACCTCCGGTGAGACCCCACCCACACCCAGACCCCTCAGCAGGCATGCAAGAGACCTAGTGTACAAAGCAGCACATCCCTATCCCCGGCCACCCACATCTGTGTGCTCACATGCCAACACACACACACACACACACACACACACACACACACACACACGCCATAGACAAGGCAGAAAAGGCCCTGCCCTCCTATCCTGCTCTTGCCTGGAACTTGACACCCAGCACCAACAGTCATGTCCGCATAGGCAAGGATTGACACAGACAGGGCATATCTAGAGGTTACCAGAGGAGCAACAAGGCACAGGCATTGCCACGTGGGGGCAACATTCCCTAGACTATGACATCCCCCCCTCCCCCCCAGTCAGTGGGAACTCCATGCCAATACAGAAAGAAAGGAAACGGTTCCCTGCATCACAGAGGGGTGCAAACTCCCCTCTTCCCTAAGCCTCCCTGGCTTCCAGAGCCTGGCTCACATTGTTGACTTCACCTTGTCCCCAGGTCATGAACAGTCTGCAAGCTGGGCTGTCCAGAGCCCAAGTGGGTAAGGGAGGCTCTTCCCAGGGGGAGAGCATGCCAGCCTTGGCCCAGAGCTCCTCACACCCTCAGAGAGAAAGGGATAGCTGGGGTGGACGAGGGGGCCAGCAGGAGCAGCCCCAGGCCTCGCTGTTCTCTATGGCTTTTTATTCCTATGTGATTCTACTGCTCACTCATATAGGGATTGGAGCCGTGGCGCACGGCGGGGGCGGCCAGCGAGGGCTCGGATCCTGAGCAAGGGGGCCCAAAGAGAGGTAGCTGCTAGCCTAGCCAAGGGAACCTTTCCTCTGTTGCTCTCCCTACCCCCACCCCCACTGACCTCTTCCCTGGCCAACTGTAACAGGAGAATGGGCAGGTGGGCTGCTGGATCCCATCAGTACTCTGACCCACTATCTCAGCGCTGGAGACCACCACTGCAAGGCTGGCACTGGGAACTGGACTGTGTCCCAGAGGAGCAGCTAAAGGAACTGGGATGTTCCACCTGGAAAAATGGGCCTGACACAAGAAAACAAGGTCCAGAATCCTATGTGGCTGAGAGTAGCCCGTGGGCAAACAAAGGGCAGATCAACCAAAGAAGGTGTGGTCTGTGCCTAAGGGTTTTCCAAACACAGAAGGGAAGGACAGACTTAGTGAGTAGTAAGCATTCACCCAGCAAGGCACACAGCAAGCAGAAGTTGGAGATTGCAACAGGGAGGCCACAGGGGAGTCACAGTTGGATAGGTGGCCAGTTGCTTTCAGACCCCACACTCTGCAGTCCTTAGGCCTGTCCTCCCTCTCTGCTTGTCCCCATTGAATGTGTCAGAAGCCAGGCTCAACCTTCCTAGGCTCTTAAGTGAAGCAAGTGCTGAGTATACCCTGCAAAGCGGGGTGTGGGGAACTCCTGTAGGGTCTTAGCGCTGGGGCTGCAGGCTGATCCCACTCCCCTTCCCAGCAGTTCTGGGTGAGTCTTCGCTCAGAGGGAAAACACATGGAGAACCCATAGTGTGGTTCTTTTTATTTGCAGTCCTTGCTTTACCCCACAGAAAGGACACTCAAGAGCTCAGCAGAGGGGCTGCCTGGGGGTGGGTGGGGAGAAGACTGGGAACAGCAAACTGGCTAAGGGGCTCATCCCAGTCCTCAGAGATACCTGCTATCTGTCCACAGCAGAAAGTAGGGAGAAGAGAGCCCCCCCATCTGCCAGTCCGGTTGGAGGAATGAACACAGAGCAGAAGCTATGGGTGTGAGGTATAAGGGCCAACCAAGCAGCCTGGGCCAAGGAAAGAAGGAACCCTAAGGCCTGGTGAGGCCTTGGGGACCAACCCTGGTCGGCCCCAGGATGCTGTCCTGTAGGCCTCCTCTGTACTCCTAAAACACAACCTACACCATCACCGTGGCCGCAGGAACAGGAGGTGGGCATCCATGACATTGGTGCCAGTCAGCCCTGTGTGCAGCAGGTGCACCCCACCACGAAAGCAACGGAAGAAGGTATGTGAGTCATTGTGAGATAGGAAGGTGGCCACGTCCAGGCCCTCAGCAGCAGCCTGGCTGGCCAGCTCAGGCATGACCCAGGCCCCAGCAGCCTCTGTGGGGCCATCCTGCCCATCGGTGCCACCACTTAAAAACAGCACATCTACAGGCCCCAGTGGCCGTCGTCCCAGCTCTACTCCAACACGCAGGGCCAGTTCCTGGTTCCGGCCACCCTTTCCTGAGCCCTGCAATTGCACTGTGGGCTCACCACCAGCCAGCAGGCAGACGGGGCCCCTGGCCCTCACCACAGCCTCCAGAGCCTCCTTCAGCTGCAGGTCTGGGAGCTGGAGCTCAGCTGCCAGCTCATGGAGTTGTTCAGCCTCCTCCGCAGAGGCTCCAGCCCCAGCCAGAGTGAGGCAGGTTCCAGCCACCTGGGCGAGCAACCCGTAGAACCGGGCTATACTTTCCACATCGCCCTGCATAGCTGCGCTCAGCACCACAGCCTGGTACCCCAGCGCCTCAGCCTGCCGCTGGGCCTCGGCCAGCGCCAGCGCGTTGGAGCCAATGATCACGTTGAGTACGTGACCACAGGTGTGTGGCCCATGAGGGTCAGAGTCAGACCGAGCCAGCACAGTCTTCACGGAACGTGGCAGGGCAGCACGAAGGCCGTAGCGATTGAGGATGTGCAGGCAATCTTGCACGTTGTGGACGCTAGCCACAGTGGGGCCGCTGGCGATCACCTCCACAGGGTCCCCCACCACGTCTGACAGAATCAGGCTCACCACCTGGGGTGGGGTCGCAGAAGCAAGGCTTAGTCCCTCCTGGCCCTCACCCTACAGCCACTGAGGATAAACCACCACACGCCCCCTACCATGTATTCACACACCCTCACACTGCCCAGTGCATTTTCTTACCCACTTCTAACCCCTCTCAAGGGGGTTTGTAGAACATGTGGCCACTTGGACCCCCCCCCCATTCCTCTCTGAGGCCCCTCTCAGCTAGCCCTGTGGACTCCCACACCAGGCCCCTGCCAATCTGTCTGCTGTTCTAGGCTTTCATCTCCCTGGTGCATGTGGGCTCCTCCAGCCCAGGGCTGCCTGGGGTAGAAGCAACCCATGTACCTGGGCAGGGTAGGCAGCCCGAGCCAGCCCCCCACCCTTGAGCTGGGACAAGGCCTTCCGGATTGTGTTCAGCTCCTGGATGTTGGCTCCACGGGCCGCCAGCAGTTTGGTGAGTGTCTGCTTTTCCTCCAGTGTGACGGGTGGGATAGGGGCTGGCAGCAAGGCTGAGCCCCCACCTGCAGAGACAGTGAAGAAGTTGGGCAGATGGGACAGAACTGCAAAGGAACCTCCCCACTCAGGGAAGCAGGCAGACAGTGCCCACATTAGGGAAGGGGATGCTGGAAAAGTGGGGTTAGGGTGCCCCCGTGTGGACATGCAGTGACTGTGTGTACAGTCACCACACCCTGGGCCCCTGAGGCTGTGCCCTGCCTTAGGGTAGCCTAGGTCCCAAACAGGCACTAAAAGAACTATTCCGTAAGAACTTGGAATAGGGGCTGCCCCTCATCCAGGAGGAGACAGTGAGACCAAGGAGGGGCTCCGTGGGAGCTAGAGACCTGGGTTCTAGCCCCAGATCACATTGGCAAGAGAGCAGCAACAGCAGGGACATTTTCCCTGCAACACCCTGAGTTAGATGTTCCCTATGTACCCCCTCATGGTCACCCAACAGGGTCAGTCAGGGGAGGACCCCACAGCTCCGGGGAGGCCAGATACAATACCCAGGGCCACCTGGGGGTCAGCCATCCAGGTTCCTTACTGCCTCCCTTGCTCTTGTGACCCCGAGGGCTCAGACCAACCATCTCTCACAGACCTGGTATTTGGAACCACCACCACCATCCCCCAAACTCTCCTGAATGAGCCAATCTGGCACCCATACCTGAGATGAGCACAAGCAGTAGATCGTCAGCCGTGAGGCTTTCAGCCAGCTGCCGGATGGCCAGTGCGGCCCGGAGTGCATCACGGTCTGGGAGGTTGTCCTCTGCGCCCTCAAATACCTGGACACAGCTGTGTGGCTTCAGCAGCATCTCCCTGAAGAGACAGAACAGACAGCAAGAGATGGGGTGAGCTCCTCTCCTTCCACCTGATTTCCCAGCTGTACAGGTGAAGGATGCCAACTGGCACCCATCCTGGAGCTAATCTAGACCCAAAAGGAAAGGGATGCTGGTGAGGGAGGGAGGCCCGATGGGGCCTGAGTTTGGCTTAGCTTCCCCGCCCGATGGACAGTGGGCAGCAGCCCCCCAAGTCTCCTTACTGTTTGCCAGCATGCTCCATGGCAGCACGGATCCCCTTGGGAACGCTGATCACACCCTGCACGAGATGCTGGCCCAGTAGCTCCTCAGCTGCAGCTGCCATGCCCAGCACAGCCTTGCCAAAGCCCACCAGGTAGAGGTTTTGCCGCAGCTGAAAGCTCCGGTCCCGCACCTTCAGCTGCCCACCACCAGGATCCAAGGACAGTGCCCGGTGCAGCATGGGGCCTGGAAGCACGGCACCCACAGCGCTCTCAAACAGCTGCCGTGCCTGCTCCGCGAGGGCCATGCCACTGGCCAGCCGGACCACTGCGCCACCCAAGAGGAGTGGGCGCAAGGGGGCTCGGGCCAAGCAGGGCAGGACCTGCAGGACTGCAGCCATGCCCCACTGTTCTCAGCACCACCTGGCACCCATGGCTGCCTAGGGGGAAGAAAGCACCAGTAAGGCCGCTGCAAGACCAGAGTCACCCCCACCACCACCACCACAGCTACCTCTCTGAGGGCTTGGGGCCGCTGGACCCCACAGTGGCTGCTGCAATGGGCCATCTGCCAGTCCAAGACTTTCTGAGGCCCTCAGCTGCCTCATCTAACTCCAGTTCTCGGAGCCCAAGCCCGCCACCTACCATGTCCTTCTCTTCTGCAGGCTCTACTCTGGCCCTCTGGACACTCTGCCCCGGGTCCAAAGGTCCTGTTAGCCAAGCCCTCCCCTAGGCCACCCGCTTCGGCTGAGAGTTAATCATTCATAGAGGGAGCAATTCCTCTCATTGGGCTCCCGCCCCACCCCTTTTCCACCCCCTTCACTTCTAAGCCCTCGTCCAGGAGCAACACCCCTTTCTGGCACTCCTTCCTTGCCTGTTTACCACTTCTGTTGCCAAGAGGCTGCCGGCTGTCCCACCAACTGACCCTGAGCCCGATGACCTGTAGCCTGCTCAATTTCATTAGCTCATGGATCTGGTCTGGGAAGCCTAGGTCTGTGTGGGGAGGCTGTAGGCTCACAGGAGCACTGACAGGCAGACCCAGAGCACATCCTCAGGACACACAGCCTGAGGAATCCCAGTGCTCAAGGCCAGTCCAGCAAAAGGTTTGGGTTCAAGCAAGAAATGGCAGCAAAGACTGGCTCATGATGGAACCTCAGATAAGTCCCTAGACACCACAATAAGGCCATATACCTTGGGGCCCACACTGCAGTACAAAAAAGGACACCCTTCCACCTACTTGGCTAGCTAGACCCACCTCTGTTAAGAACATGCCTTTCACTCTGACCTAACAAGACAAGTCTTGGGTCACATCACCCACAGGAGTGAGAGCCAAGTGTCTGGAACAGGAAAGGCCAGGCTTCCAGAACTGAGGCCAGTCATTTTCCCCACTGGGCAAGGTAAAGGCTAAAGTAGCCTCAGGGTGAAGGTCAGGAGGCTGTAAAGGAATTCAGGGACAATAAAGCCCCAAAGAGCTCATCTCTAAAAAAGGCATCTGCTTTAACAATGCCCACCATAAATGCTGCCAGCTGACTGCACAAGTATGCACAGAGCAGGGGAAGGAGGCTGGGAATCAGGCTTCAGCTCTACCAAAGAGACAATTCCTTTTCTCTCACTGGACCTCACATACAAAATGAGAGGTGGGATGAGAAGATTAACGCTTTCCCCTTGACATCCTTGGTCTCTCTGAAGCTGCCCACTGTTAACACAGAAAACCTGAGCCCCACTTTATCCCACACTCAAAAAACCTAACAATGTGTAGTCCTCAGCCACTTAGCCAGCATGGTTCTCAGCTTTCCCGTAAGACCAATGCTGCCTGACTCCAGCATTAAAAGGAACACAGAGGGTGCTGACATATGGACTCTGAAAAATGGGCTCAACTTTTGCCAGGAAGCCCCTGGGGATGGCCCATTAGGCTAGGAACCAAAAGCGGCTTAGAATCTAGCAATAGCCTGACAGCCTGCATGAACTTTGTACCTCTTTCCCAGATGGACACAGGCCTTGCCACAGTACACCAGAGCTCGGGGGAGGGAGGGGGAGAGGGGTGTTCAAGGCAAAGGTTGCCAGTTAAAATATAAGATGTATTTGAATTTCAAATAAATCAGATCTTTTCTTTCTTTCTTTTTTTTTTTTTTTTTTTTTTTTTTTTTTTTTTTTTTTTTTTTTTTTTTGAGAAAAAGAGAGAAAGAAAGAGCAGGGGAGGGGCAGAGAGATGGAGAATCCCAAGCAGGCTCTGCCCTATCAGCAGAGCCTGACCAGGGAGCTCAATCTCACCATCCTGAGATCATGACCTGAGCTGAAATCAAGAGTCCTACGCTTAACTGACGGAGTCACCCAGGTGCCCCTCAATTAGGGATTTTTAAAATACAAGTATGTTCCATACAATATTTGAGGCACACCTACACTAAAAAAAAAATGTTACCTATCTGAAATTAAATTTTAACTGCACGTCCTGTATTTTTACTTGCTACTCTTTAGTCACACACCCTCTCTCCTAAAACTCCCAGGTACTCCAGAGATAAATCCGGAAACACCGAGAAGACCCTCCTTGACTCCTCCTCGCCACCAAGTGGGGCTGGAGCCACTTCCGGCCTTTTCCTGCCCGCACATGCTCCGGAAGTAATGTCATCCTCTACCGGCGCCTTAGACCTTTCCGAGGGAACTTCGCTGCCGCGTGATGTCCGGTAGTGACCCGAGAAATAATGGCCCGCCACCACCTGGACCCGCCACTGCCCGGCCCAAGGACTTCTTCCGTGGGCCCTCGCGCCGTGGACTTACCGCCCCACCGCTCTGGGTCGCGGCTTCCGGTGCCGGAGACCGGAAGTACTCGCGGGTAGGGCGGTGCGGAATCAGGAAGTGTGGGGTGAGAGGGGGCGGGGTTGGGGTGCTGCCGGGCGCACGCTGCTGTGGGAGGGGGGTGTGAGGTTTGTGCGAGTGGGAACTAAGGCGTTTCCTCCGCTCGGACTTTTGGGAGGCTTGGGTGGAGCCACCTTCAGGCTGTATTGCTTTCATCTCTGCAACGGGGGCAATAATCTCTGACTCACCAAATTGCCGTAAGCTTCCCCTCCTTTATCCCGTAGGATCCCATCAGTCAGCAAATACATTCCTTCCTCCTGTTAGGTGCCCGGGAATAGACTGAGCAAAGGGACTGAGAATTACGATTTCCCCACAATTCACCCTTTCTGGAGCCAGATTAAATCGTCCCGGCTCCTCTCCACCTCTGTAATCCCACAACTCTTTTGTGTTCACCCCTCTCCTCCGTGGCCAACCAATTGCATGAACCTCGAGCACACAAGCTGCCTGTAAACATGAATGACCCTGGGTCTCCCTTACTCTCTCCATTCTCAGCCTGTGTCCACCCTTGAGCCTGACTTGATGCCTTCCCGCATTCAAAAGACAAGTCCTGACCAGACTCCAAAGACACGAAAGAGTTGTTTGTTTTTTTTTTAACTGATATTCTCCTGGGGAGATGGGGGGAGGGAGTTACATCACAAATCACACAGCAGACTTTCTAAAAATCTTAAAACATATCCCCACCACCACCACCAGTTTCCTTTTGCAGCTGCCACATCTCTCCATAGGTCTCCAAACCATGCTCTGTTCTCATGAACTCCTCCTAACCCCTTCCCAGCTGTCTCCCTGGATTTTTCTTTCCAATTATAACAGAGGACCTTTTATTCCCTGTCACCCTCTTCCAAACTTCCCCTCTCCATCACCAAAACAAAGGCACCTTCAGGAGAATCTGCCCTCCTTAGATGTGGGGAGATTGTCAATACTTAAAATTTCAGTTTTTCCTTGCTGAAAGTAAGTAGTCTTGGTTCAGCTTGCATTTATCCATTCCTCCAGCATTCAGCAGACATTCCCTGACTTTCTATGTAGGTCAAATGCTACAGCTACTGGGATGAGTAAGAAGTGGTACTTTGAGTTGAGAATTTTACTCTGCTTTCGTAATTGCAGACCCCCATTACTAGAAGGAATGTATATTTGAGCACCTCTCTCATTATTTAGTGCCAGAGACTCATGAACAAATACCATTTACCATGCCAATGCTGTTCTGTCAGACTGTAAGCAGGAAGACTAATTATACCCATGTTTTAAATCCTTCTCCCACCCCACTACTCACAAGATGTATTTAACAGCAAGGTTTAAATGCCCACTGGACTCTGAGTTCTTGGAAGGTGGTGACTTGGTCTAATTTATATTTGCATCTCTACTGCCTTGCATAGGACCAGGCACTAATAAAAGCTGGAATTTCTATATTTTTTATCTCCCACCCCCACTTTCTTTCTTCCTTTCCTTATTTTTTTAACGAATTAACAAGAGGACAGTGAAGTAAGTACTCAGCTACAAAGTGCTGCAGACCCAAAGTAGAAAATATTTCACAAAAGGAAAAGAAATGGGGCGCCTGGGTGGCTCAGTCGGTTGGGCAGCTGATTTCGGCTCAGGTCATGATCTCACAGCTCGTGAGTTCAAGCCCCGTGTCGGGCTCTGTGCTGACAGCTCAGAGCCCGGAGCGTGCTTCAGGTTCTGTGTCTCCCTCTCTCTCTACCCCTCCCACGCTCACGCTCTCTCTCAAAAATAAATAAACATTAAAAAAAATT